GGGCAGGAGCTCGGAGGGGTGGCGGCTCAGGGCAGGGGGCTGGGGTATGTGTGGATGCCGGGGGGCAAGGGTGCGATTTAGAGAGAACTTGGGGGGATCAAGCCCCCCCAAGATTCATACCAGGAGGTGGCTTGCTGGCTGTCACACTCAGGAAGCAAGAGGAACACTCATAGGGTGGCCTGTTCACTCCTCTGTCTCCCCTTCCCAGCCGGGAGGGCGTGTGCTTTGCTCTCACGCCCTGAGGGTGGAAGGGGAGCACCGAGCAATGTCCCCGTATGAATCTTGGGGGTCACGGGCCCTTTGCCCTCCCTAAATGGCGCCCTGAGGAGGGGGAGCTTGGGGCTGAAGCAGCCCCGGGCCGGTGGGGTAGCGCCCCCCCAGCTGCCCCAGTTAACTCCAGGCTGCAGAGCAGGGACCCAGCTGGGAGCGCACCACACCTCCTCCTGCAGCCGACTGGCTCTTTCTTGCCAGACTGGGCGCGCCCTGGCTTAATTTCACCGCTGGTCACAGGCAATCTGCCCCTTTTGGCCATCGCGGTATAAACCGGGCCCCGTGCACGTGAAACCATTCCCACAGTGGGGTTGTCTACACTACAGTTGCAGTTAGCTTGGGCTGAGCTAACCCAGTCTGGCTAACCCGCCTCCTGCAGCCGACTGGCTCTTTCTTGCCAGACTGGGCGCGCCCTGGCTTAATTTCACCGCTGGTCACAGGCAATCTGCCCCTTTTGGCCATCGCGGTATAAACCGGGCCCCGTGCACGTGAAACCATTCCCACAGTGGGGTTGTCTACACTACAGTTGCAGTTAGCTTGGGCTGAGCTAACCCAGTCTGGCTAACCCGGCTCTCACCCCTGGTGTTGGTGCAGCTTAACCCTTACCACCATCGGCTAATCCCAACCTATCGTCAACCGCTCCTCCTCGCTAGACGAGCCCGCAGCTGCAGGGCCCAGCTGGTAGAGCGCTTTCCCTGGTACGGGCCTCGTGCTGTAATGCCAGGCCCCGGGCGAGCTACAGTGCAGATAGCCACGTTCCAATGGATAAATGGTGCGCGTACAATTCGCCTGGGGAGCACGCCACTGTAAAACAGCACAGAGGGCCAAGACTTCAGGGGGACGTGCAGGAGAAGAGTATCGAACGTGATCGTAGTAAGGATTAAAAAAGCCCCTCCGCTTTGAGAAGAGCTTTAAATCCCCAAGCTCCAGGGCAGGGACCCAGTGTATGCAGCATGGGGTCAGGAAGGAACATTCCTTGGCGACGGGTTATCCCAACGCTGCCAGGTTTCCTGTGCCTCTCTCTGAAGCAGCTGGCGCTAACCACTCTTGGTGATGGGACTAGGTGAATATTGGCCCGCCCTGGATTCTGATTGCTAAAGGACCGGCCCCACCCCATCCTTTCTGGGGGAGCAGGTGAAGCGGAGTGCCACTATGAGTCCTGAGCCCCCCTCCTTTTTTCTAGTTAAATGCCTCTTTCCTTCCAGCACCATCTCTCCGACTCA